TTTAGTTATGATGTAAATACAATAAAAATTAAACCAACATTAGAATAATTATCATTTTGATCCATACATTGGTAATGTSTGACTGGGCCTYGTGTCACTTTAYGWTCAACAAATTGGRCCCYGARGTCAAAAAGGTTAAGAACCSCTGTTCTACAGGATGCAACTGTAGAAGTCTTACCTTCCATTGAGTCCTAATCCTTCTCCATGAGGGAAACCAACTGCAAGAAGACAGAAAAACACTTCAGGAGCTAAACCAATCAACACTTCTGATCCTTTACAGTGCCCGTAAACTCCCACAGAAATATTGTATCTTCAGTCTAATTTCTACAGATGTGTTCCTTCTTATTGGAAAGATTTTACAAGATTAACTCTTTACACGCTGATGACTACTGAAACACTTTATGTGCACCAGACAGTTACACAACACACACACACACACACTCAACTTTAAATTTTGTGAATACTATTATTTCACTTATAATGTTTTTCATTCAAGCAAGAATCACTTTAGCTCTCTAAAATAAAATAAAAGGCTGCAATGCCTCTGGCCTCAATCTGAGTTCTTCCTCCAAACGTAATTTGTGGACCTTCATTTCTAAAGTGTCCTGTGAAGAAGCAAACAGCACAGAGCCCGGGACCGGTCATAAGAACACGAGTTCTTCCTGACCTGCGGGGGTGTAGGCAAACGAGGCGGTGTAGTGGCTCAGCTCCTTCCTTTTTTTACGTCGACAGTAGATCCACACGCTGAAGCCCATGAGGATGACCCAGCAGGCTCCACCAATGCCGGCGATAAATGCTGGCCTCTTGACCACGTCGGTGATCTGCTCAGCCAGACTCACACTGCTCTCCTTATCGCTGTCGCTGGTCTCAGAGCCAGACGGATGATCTGCTGGCAGCTCTGAGGCAACAAAAACACACACAAGACAAGTGGGTGAGGTTTGTTTAGATGCTGTTTTAGTTTTAGAACATCCTACTGTCAAATAGTTCTCATCAGTCACAGATTATGGAGAAAGAAGCAGAAGTCTTAATCCAGAATAGACTAATGAAAAGACAAGAGGAGGAACATTTTATAAGCATTTTCTGTTCTGCTCCCTCGGTGAGTCATCGTCCTTCATCTCACTCTGTCCTCTGTCCTCTGTCCTCACTACATCTACCTCTATGTCCTACTGCATCTATAAAATCTACCAGCATACCCACTGTCCCTCCTCTGGACATGTCCAAACCATTATACCCACTGTCCCTTCTCTGGACATGTCCAAACCATTATACCCACTGTCCCTCCTCTGGACATGTCCAAACCAATATACCATCTGTCCCTCCTCTGGACATGTCCAAACCATTATACCCACTGTCCCTCCTCTGGACATGTCCAAACCAATATACCCACTGTCACTCCCTTACCTGAAAATTGGTGAATGCCATAAGTTCTTGTAAATCACTCTTACGCACAACTTAAGAATATGTTTGTTTGAATGGTTCTTGCATGAGGCCCATTACTCAKACTATCATTTTTTGATCACAATTTCCCTTCATGTCCATCACCAGAGCAAACAGGAAGGGGCTCAGAGACTATCCTTGAAGCACTCCCACCTCTAATTATTGTTATTCACATATACTTTTTGTTACTTTATAAGCCTAAAAAAACAATAAAACATGGGCCCTTGTTTGGCTAGCCATTACCCTGCCCTAGAAAAAGATATGCACACCAAGAACACCAAGTTCTTCCATACTTTGTGTTCTGACAGATCACGGTGGGTACAATWTTATTAATTATCTGACATCAATCTAAGCATCAACAGATTGTGTACTTCAAGATGCAAATTTTTGCTAAAAAACACAAAAACACAAAGTAAAACAAAAGAGTATCTTAATATTTTTGGCTTACCAGGAATGCAGAACATCTTGAAACTAGGGGTGTAAGAAAATATCGATACACTGAAATATTGCGATATTTCATTTCCTGATACTGTATAAATATTCTAAAGCCCTGTATCGATTTTTATTAAGGTTTAAAATGTCAACTTTACTACCAGCCGTTCATTTTTATATTGTGGTTCAGCCTCTGACCACTAGTTGGCAGCAGTGAGCTAGCCATTTGGCTCCTCTACCTCTTGAACACCAGAGAGTAAGAGAGCATTAGCATTGTGAGTAACGTTGGTTACGTATTGTAACCCCAGATTCTATGAGTGTAAGCGCAGCCCTCTAAGGCTATCGCAGATGGGTACCCCCGCGCGCGC